TAGCATTATTTTCCGATGGTGGAATAATATAATCTATTAAAATGAAATGATTCTTCTATTCGAAATTAATTCTTTTCTAATATACCTGCTACATCAATAATAAGTGTTCCATTTTGTGCTGTATGTATATAACCAATTCCTTTAACTTTAAGTGTAACGGATGATACAATTGATGTATCCTGTTTTTGATAACCTTTTTCATATAAAAGTAAATATAATATGGAATAGATTAGAAGAATAGCTTGCATAAGACGAAGTAAAATAGTAAGTGATAAACTATGTATTACAACTAATTTTGGTGTTTCATATTCTGTAAATAAACCAAAAAATGATCGAACAAAAACTCTTTGAAAACGTTGTCGATGTTGAAAGATTACATTTGAAGTCATGTTCTTCTAGAATAAGTATTATTTTGATAGTTTCACATCTTAATTATATAGGGAAAAAAAATGTATATATCGACCTACTAGAAAGATACACTGTTCTAAATGTAAGCAAACAATAAGATAGAGAGTATCATTATAAGTTTGATAGAAAGCTGATGAAAATATATAGTTTATCTTCATAAGACATTAGACAGCTGAGAAACGGTTGTAATACTGATTGTCCATTGTTGACAGCAAAAACCGTCATATTCAATGCTGATAACATTAGTATAGTTATCTTGCTCTTGCATAAAGGACATTATAGAAAGTATATAGGACAACGTATTATCTATAGCAAGTTATCTTAATTCATTTCTATACGAGAAAAAGACAAGAATTTAGTAAGAAATACACGTAACTGACAGCGACAGACTTAGGAAGAGTGTGTTGGGTACGATCGTAGTGTGTCTGTTTAATTACATTTGGTACGATCGAAATATATTCTATAGATACATATAATAACAGCAGAACTTGTTTATGATAAGAAAATCACATGGATATTTCTTCAAATATGAAAACTGGTTTCTTTGAATAAATTAAAGTTTATATCTTTTTTTTTGAAGAGAAAACCACTATCTATATCTATCCATCTTGTGATTTATTATATAAGATGATTATGTTGATATATATCCACACTTCTAATAGTCAATGTATGATATTAACACTATTCATATAAACAAATAAATAATTACTGTATATTTTTTTTTGTTATCAATTGATGAATATAAAGCTATTTATCAAAAAAAAATTTAATTTGATTAGAAAAACAACCAGTCTGATTTTTTCTTTCGAATACATTGTATATGTATGTATTCGAGATGATCGAATAGAATATAGATTATTTAGTGTAACGAATGAAAAGAAAAGAATGTTATTACCCTGGATAACTTTAATCTTAATATTTAGTCATTGTTGTTTCGCTAGTGAAAGATCTTATAATGAAATTGACATTGAACCTTGTGATATTAATCGTTGCCGATTACCATATTGTTATTGTTCAAGTCAAAAAATTCCTGGTGGATTAACTGTACGTGATACTCCTCAATTTATTGCATTAACAATTACTGGTCCATTAAATGAAAAAGCTTATGATTTATTAGAAGATCTATTTCTTTCAAAAAAATATTCGAACCCTGATGGTTTGTTTAATTATACAAATTTTATTATTTATATTTTTACTTTTTAGGATGTCCTATTAGTAGTACTGTTTTTCTTAAAAATCATGCTGAAACAAATTATTGTTTACTTAAACGAGTTTTACATTATGAAAATATTGAATTAAGTATAACATCAAATTCGAGCGAGTAAATCTTTTCAATAGTTTTTTGTAATGTTATAAATAATAAAAGTTTTTTTTTCTTCAATTAGATGTCCAACTGTTGATTGTCGTGTTAAAGAAAAAGATGATAAAAGTCCATATGTAACATGGCGTTCGTATCGTTTTTATAATGAAACAATTGATTATCGTCGTACAGTATCAAAATTACTTGATCGTCGTCCATCATCTATTGTTGGTTATCGTTCACCTAATTACGAAGTTAATAATAATCAACTACATTGGCATATTTTACGTGAACATCAGTTTTTATATGATTCAACATTAATAACACGTGAATGGGATACACCATATTATAAACAACAACAACCAACACCATTAACATGGCCACATACAATGGATTTTAAAGCTAATTATGATTGTTCACAAGGTTGTTATACACAATCATTTCCCGGACTTTGGACTATACCAATACATATGTATCAAGATTTAGATGGACGAAATTGTACAACAATAGGTAGTGATCATTGTCGTGTACCACGTGTAGCCGATAAGTTTTTTAAATATCTTAAATATAATTTAAATCGTCATCTCTATTCAAATCATGCACCATTTGTAATGGCATTTGATAGTTATTGGTTGAATGAACCCTATACAGCATGGAGAATTGAAGGTTTAAAATTATTTCTTGAACATGTACTACGACATCATTCAAATGATGTTTATTTTGTTCGTATGATTGATATTATTAATTGGGTAAAACAACCTGTTGGACTTAAACAAATGAAAGAAGGATATTTAGATAATATAGCATTAAGATCAAAATGTCATAAACAAATTGATATTGATGAGGATTTTGATCAACAATGTATTGATGGAAAAATAATGAAAAATTCAAAATTAAATGCAACCGCAAATGCTCGTTCATTATTATTATTATTTGATGTTGCTGCCGAACCATTATTTCGTTCGAACATTGTTTTTTATTCATCAATTAGCTTCGGTATTTTTCTTATTGTAACATTTATTTATGATCGTATTTCCGTTTCTTAAAAATAAACTAACTCCTCGTTGATTTTTACTGATAAGATTATGTAATTGATTGGCAGAGAATTTAATACATAAGCAATTAGAATTATAAAATCATAAATAAATATGTTTATTTATTTTTTTTTATTAAAACAAAAAACAATTTTAAATATTTCATTGCATTCTTCGTAAAAGAACTCGTTTTGCTGCTTGATGTGCATGATTTTCCATTTTATCTAAAAATACAAAAAAAATAATAAAAACAAAACAATTATTTTTATTTACATATTTTATGTTGTCCACGCATTGGTAATTTAAAAAAAAGTTCTTGTGGATTTTCACATATCAAAACATATTCACTCTCAGATTCACCATCAGGATACTGTTCAACATATGTATTACGATCTAAACAATCAATAACATCAACACATCCAAGTAATACTGATGTTGGATAATCCGTTGGAAAATCAATTTCTTCATCATCTAAATAATTATAGATATATATATACATATAATTGGGTGATGCCAAGTAATCCGTAAGGGTGTGGGTGGGTGTGGATGTATAGATACGAACTACTCTCCTTTCACACCAACATCCTCACCCACACGACAAAAATCTTCGAGATGATTTATTTCTTTTTCAGATTTTTATTTTCCGGATTACTTGACATATATATATATAATTGTATTTGTTTTTATTCATACCAGTATTTCTTGCTTGATAAAATTCTTGCATACTTGAAATAACATTTTGATCAGGTTCTTTTGCTGCTGCATGTATCCATAAACGTCCACGATGTGATGTATACCAAGATCTACCTTCATGCCTAAAAATTATATTGAAAAAATTTTATAATTATAAAAAGTTTTATTTACATTTTTATTCCACGAACTAATAATGAAGCCCATGGTTGATGCATAGACAGACACATTCCATCATCTGTCATTTGCATTAATTCTTTATCTTGAATACGTAGACGTTCTCGATCTTTATCTTCGATAGTTACTTGAGATAAAGTTGTTAATGTGGGTCGTTTAGTATTTTGTTGTTCAACCCACTAAAATATATATATTTGTTTTTTTCTTTGATTTATTTTTTAAAATTTAAAACAAACTTGAGGAGCTGACGCTGATCCAGGTAAATTATGGTTAATTAAATCATTTTCATCATCATCATCCCAATTAGGAATTTGTTGTTGATGAAAACGTTCACTTTCTAATTCATATTGATCATTATCATGAACAGCTCGAGCTTCATCATAACTAAAATTTATTTATTATTTAAAATTGGTATTTTTCGTTCTTAAACTTACAATCGATCATTTTTTGCTTCAGGATCATTCGTAACTCGTCTTCCAGCAAAATCAATCGTAATCTTTTGATTCTTTTGATTTTTCTGATGATTGAGTTGTGATTGAAGTTTTTCAAGTTTCGTACGTTGGTTTTTACTAAGCCATTTATTATTACTATCAAAATAATCTGCAGCATCATCAATAACTTGTGTTCGTTGTGCACTAAAAACTAAATTAAATTTTTATCTAGAGTAATTATCTATGAACCTTGTTCGATCGAATTCAATAAGTTTATTTTTAAATGCTACAGCTTGTGCAATATCATTTAATGATAATTGTGATGATGAATCAGATGTATTCACTGTATTTTTAGAATCCGGTTCACGAACTTGTCGAGCTAATAATTGTTCTTCAAGTTGCTTTCCTTCTCGTGTTCCTGAAGTAATCAAATTTTTTTCATCACGAGTACAAACCTATAATACGATAATTAAAAACAAAAACTATTCAATTATTTTAGATTTACGAGAGTGCCGCAGAAAAAACATGGACCAGATCCTTCTTGATCACATACAATTCGACCACATTTAAGACAATTACCAACAAGTTTATGTTTTGATGCTTGACATTCACATAAACTACGACCTACAAACTAAATTTATTTTCCAATATTAACTATAGTTATGTGTATACCTGGAAATCGAACGATCATTCGTTCTTTGCCTTCATTACTAAATACATTGATATATTTAGATTTTTTCTTTTGCGCTTGTGGCATGTTTTTATAAGATCTAAAAATATCAGAGTGTGATAAGTTTTAGAATTTTCCACCTTCATATGAAGAAAAAAAACAAACAGAATCTAATGAACGGACTGATCTTGTTATCTTCTATTTGTAAAAAAATCGAAGATACAAAACAAAAAATAACTAATCATGAAAAACTTCTTATAACAAACAATAGGATTGGAAGAAAAAACAAATCAATGACGATGTTGTTCACGTTTAATTCGTTCAGCATAAGTTCGTGAAACAATATTCCATGCATCCATATAACGATCAGAACATGAAGTTATACATTTCTAAAAATACAGTATGAATTTCCTATTAAATTATTATTCAAAACTTCCAACCTGTTCTGAACTCGATAATGTACTACCAGGTTTTTGAACACAAGCCTTGAAACATTTATCAGATAGTTTCTTAAATACAAAAAAATTGTTCGTATTATTTTTTTTTCGAAAAACAAAATTTTACTTGGAGAAGTTCCTGAGCATTTTGAAGAGCCAATTGTTGTTGTACTGAAGCCATTATTTGTTGGCGTTGAGCACCATCCATTTTTTGTGAATCAAGACTCATTCTTTTTTTTATTAAATCTTAAATAAATAAAATAGAATTACATTTATCTGTTCATTCAAATTTTTTAATTATAATACTAGTAAAAAAAAACAAACGTAAAGATCAAATCAAAACATCACAACACTGTTCAAAGTATCACAATTTTTGTTGTTAGTGTTTTTTTGTTCCGAAAAAAAAAATTAATATTGTAATTGATGTGAAATCTGCATTGCTAATCGAGGTTTTATGGTATTTAATTGTGGAAATAAATTCATATCATCATTTTGATTGAAACTATCATTCTCAATAAGAGATGATGTAGATGAAAAAGATGAGAAGTTTTTAATTGAAGCACTGGAATTCCGTTTATTTTCAATATATTCTTCATCTATTGATGTTTGAAGTGATGGATAAAGTTGAATCCTAAATAAGAAAAAAACGAATTTAGATATATAAAGTTATGTATCTGTGTTATTAATAAGTTAATATATTACAAAAAAAGCAAAGAAGTATAAGAAAATAATATTATTATCATGTTGAATCTATATAGAACTTACGACTAAACTCAAACCATTTTGAAAACTGTATGAATTAATAAATTGAATAAAAGTATAAAATAGAATACGAAATGAATGACTTACTGAATATTATTATTAGATGAATTAATAAAATATTGTTCGATTAATTGTTTCAAATTTTCCAATGTATTTCGAAAATCTGTTTTATGATCACCTATTCGACAGTGATACATAATCTAAACAAATGAAAATTTATAAAAAAAAAGAATATTTATAGACAAATAATAACATACTTGACCAATATTTCGATTGAGGAGATAGAAACCATATCGAAAAGCACTGAGATTGGATGTTGGATAAAGAGGATATCTATGAAAAGATAATCGAATGTAGGATAGTGATAGATTGAAATTTAGTGATTCATTTCTTTGTATTGATAAGTAGCTCAGATGTTTGAATAGTAATCTTAATGTCTCTACTTTAAACTGGTATCTGTTCGGTACGAAGCCAATGTAAGTGGCTCTATATTAATTAATATCGGACATGGAGTCGATCTATAATATGTTTTGCTAACCAGGGAGGGACCCGAAGTGATTAATAACTTTTCATCTGGTGTTTTAGTCATAAGTGAGATCTAATAAGACTAGAAAAAGCCTAAAACGATGAGGGCCCATAGACGTTTCTTTCCGAGTTACGTTGATTTTACTGAATTTTTCACTTATGACAAGAGATTCACCGAAACATCAAATTACAGAGTTTCGATCTGAGATTTTGCTCACATGTAGATATTATGACCCTTATCATAGCCTAAAAGTTTCAGCCAGAACGAATGTCTCTTTCACGGAATATTTAGCTTTCAGTAAAACTCACTTATGCTACACATATATCAAGAAAATCGATATTTCTTGAGTACTCAGTATTACATTCGTTTTGGTTGAGACTTTTAGACTACGATGGGGGTCATAATACCTACATGTGAGAAAGATCCCAGATCGAAACTCTGTAATTTGATTTTTCTATGAGTCTCTTGTCATAAGCAAAAAAATTCAGTAAAATCAACGTAACTTGAAAATAAACGTCTATAGGCCCTCATCGTTTGAGGCTTTTTCTAGTCTTATTAGGTCTCACTTCGCGTCCCTCTCTCGTAAGTAGTCCTTATCTTTAGCTAGACTTCTATTTCGATAAGAAATTTACTTTTTTCATTTAAAATGATGATCAACAAAATCTTAGCTTATAAAATATATTCTTCTTACTCGTTTGTTTCTAAACTATAATCATATATTTTAATTGCTGATACTCCATGATAATCAATAGGAAATCTCAATGGTAATTGAATAAATTGTGAAATAATAAGAATAAAATGAGAACAATATCCAAGAGCTGCTGCTACTTCATGATCACGTTCTCGATCTAAAATATAGGATAGAACACTTGTTTTTTTGTTAAAATTAATAACAAACTTGATGCTGATTGATAAATTTTATCATCTGCTTGTGGTAATTTAATATTAGCTATTGAATATTCATTTTGATTTTCTTTTTGAATTGGATAAATATGATAATACATTTCATTCATAATTTCTTTTTGTCGATATGTTATTATTTGTATTAATTTATGAAGAATTATTCTAAAGAATAAATAATGAAAATATTTTTAGATATTTTTATTTTTTCTACCTTGATTGATTTAAATAATTATGATAGGATTTTATTTCTTCTTGTTGATTTGATAATTGGGATAGATTATTATTTAATTGATTTTCTTTAAAAGAAATAAGATTATAAAGTTTTTATATGTTTTCTTTTTTTACTTCTTTCTTCAAGAAATTTTTGTTTTTGTTCATAGGCAATTGAACGTTGTTGATATAAATATGTTTGAAAATGTAAATATTTTTTCAAACTCTCAATACGTAATCGACGTGTTTCACGTTCTTTTATCTATTTAATAATAATAGTAAGACGACGAATTATTTAAAATAAGAAATACCTTGGATAAATAATCTTCATTTGCATCAAAAAATGTTTGTAATCGTTGAAGATTTACTGTTGATAATTGTTTTTCACCACGAATTGCATGAATAACATTAATCATACTAAATTTCATATTATAATAAATTAACAGGATTTTCATCAATTTCTAGTAAACTAACCGTATTATACTTAATCTATTGTAGGATTTAGCCAGAGAAATACGTTTTCTTTTATCATTAAATAATATATCATCATAATTTAATTCACTATTATTCTCATCATCATTATCAGTAAAACGATAGCCAAACATTTCTAACCAAAGAGTATTATTATCTTTATTGACTGTATTTTTCTTTTGACAAAAAAAAAGAAATATTAATTAATATAATTTAGATATCTCATCTTACTTGATCATCGGGTATAAGAGAATTATCAAGATGAATATCATATTCAAGAAATAAACGAGAATGATTCGAAGATGTTATCCATACACGCATTATAAATTCTAAATAAATTTAAAAAATATCTTAAGTCAAATGTTTTATTACCAGGACAAGAGGGAAAGAGCGGAATCTGAGATCCTCGGGAATCTCCGGGACGTGTTTTTGGAATTCTCGGGAACTCGGATTCTACTCTTTCCTCCTTGTATCAAGATTAATACATAACTGAGATAAACTTTTAAGCTAACATAGTCTTGTTTTGTGCATACTCATCAGAGTTGGAACCGGTGCAGCCGGACCGGACAAGACCGGACGAAAAATCTAACCGGTCCGGACAAAACTGAATTTTTACCGGTTTATAAAATTTGAAAATTATATTTGTATTTCAAATTTTTTCCTTACAAAACTAATCTTTATTTGTTTTGAAATATCCTGTTAGGAATTGTTATACGTATATGTTTTAGTTGAAAAAGAGCATGTGACAAAAATATTCGTATAAATTCATAATTTTGCCGGAGTTTTGCAAATTTGACGTCAAAAGTAGTTCTACCGGATTTACGTCAAAAATAGTCCGACCGGACCGGATCGGATGGAAGAAATCCGTCCGGTTCCAACTCTGATACTCATGTTTTCATTTTTTTAATATACATATTGAATATTCACATCTTAAGTCTTAGAAGTGAAAGAGGCTTTTTCTTCTATGATAGTAGTATGACAATTATCTCTACAAAAAAGTTTAGTCTAACAAAATAGACATAGGCTGGTGATCAGATGCTTTCTACTGTGGCAGAAAGTAAAAATATTGGTCACTATGACCGACAATTCTGTAAAGTGAAGATTCATACCCTGACTCAATGTAGATATTAATCTACCATATATTATCAGAAAAAAGAATCTTTCCTTCAACGGATGATTGTTCATATTTACCTTGTAAACATTGCACACTTGTTGGAAATTTTAAATAAGACCATTCGGGACTCTAAAATTAAAATAAATCATATTACGTTAATTATCTTGGAAAAAAAACTTACACGTTGATTTTCAACTAATTCACTTGTATAAAACGCTATAAATATATTTCTTTTATTTATTATCAATATGATTGAATTGTTTGTCTTACCAATTGTTTTTTCATTACGATGTAATGTAAAATGAACGGTAAAATTAAATTCATTCACAGTTAAATTATGTAAGCCTATAGCTGTAATACGTCGTAATCGTTTCTGAAAAAATAATAATTAATATTTATTTTAATATAGAACAATATCGAAATTTACTTTAAGAAATGGTACTGATATTAATGGACTTTTTTTTACTCCTGATAATGCCATAGTAAATGCAAAGTACTCGTCATTAAAAATAAAGTAATCTTCAATAAAAAAAAGCAACAACAGATAAATTTATGAATATATTTATCATAAAAAATTATTGAATAATAAGAATGTTATCAAATTATTTTAAAAAAAGAAACTTTAACCACGCATTAATGCTCCACAACAACTTTTAATCACATTTCTAAATAAATAAAACCATATGTATATATAACAATCCTCACGTAAAAATTAATTTACCGTGCATATGGAATGTAACTAAGTGTATACCAAAGCTAAGATAAACATTAAATTTTATATTATTTCAAAAGTTAATCTTTAAATTGACTTACAAGAGCAAGAAATTGAAGTATCACAAATAAAAGTACTAGAACAGGCACCTTAATCTAAATAAATGAATGAATATTCATTAAAAACTGAGTCATTTAAAAAAAAACTTACAGCAATCGCTGATACAAGTGTCATTGCAACGCATATCTAGACAATTAGAACAAAAAAATGTATTGTGTTATAACTATTTATAAATAGAAACTTACGAGAAAAACTATCGTAGCAATAAATCGTGAAGAATCAAACATTTTTCTTAATTGATTCATTGGACCCATCAAGAAAAGCGTACTGAAAAATGAAGTATAATATAAATATAGGTAAAACTTATTTTTTTATACATACGATCCAAGACCGAAAATAACTGCTAAACTATAAAGAATAGCAAAACCAGATAAGCTACCACCAGTAAAATAAACAATCGTTGCCTAAAAT